GTAATAATGTTTACGTTCGAGGCGGTGGAAAACTAAATAGACATCACCCAGAATAGTTGCTTACATTTCTGAATTTTAATCTAAGTTTCACTTTTGGTCCTGGAAACTCTTACAGGGAGAAGGCATGACGAGCATTGAACCGACTGGTGGGAGAATCAACGATTTGTGTGCATTCACTGGCAGTGGATTGATGTTGTTGGCTCTTGACTCTAGCCAAATACCTTCATATTTCATACCTTCTCTGGGACCTGCGCCAAAGTGGTGTTCTTACCTTGAAAACCTAACGGTCTGATTGTGCTCCTTGTTTTGTACCTTCTCATGCCAAAGAAAATGGCGATTCTAATTTGATGTATTTGCAGGAAGAGCTTGAGGAGCAACCCCAAACAACTATTTATGACGATTATAAATTTCTGACAAAGGAAGATCTGGAAAAGTTGAATTTGACCAATTTGATTGGAACCAATCTTCTAAGAGCTTATATGCATGGTTACTTCATTGATTATCGTCTGTATAAAAAGGTGACAATCAGAATAATTTTGTCTATTAACTTACAAGATTGGCCTTGTGGTTGAACTTGTGTGCATGTTGTGCTTTGCTTTTCTAGGCACACGCAGCGTCAAATCCGTTTGCTTATGACGAGTATATTGAGCAGCGGAAGAAGGAAAAATTCGAAAAAGAGCGTGATAGTCGTATCACGGTTAGTTCCATAATGTCTGGGATATACTTTTTTGCAAGTGCACATGTACCATATCTTATTCTATTCACTACTTTTTGCACTAGCATCAAGTGAAACACATTCATTTGTCCCTTCATTTCGATTTATTATTTGGCCGGGTGTTTTCCTTCTGGAGATTTTCCAGTAATAATAACAGATTACAACGAATGTATAAGAATATTGTTTCATGTTACTTGTACCAGCGGTTAGACATTAAAAGCCAAAACTTCTGCTTGTGCCTGCACATGCATATAACGGTGGTCTAGTGACACTGCATCTTTAAAACTGTTTGATATTCCTTGCGAGTCAATAATTTTTATGTTGCGGGCCATGCACTTGTTGGAGGTTAATGAAAACTGATCAGTCTCCTTTTTAAACTATGGTCTGATTATCTCTGAAGCTGAAGATTTGTATCAATATACGTTTGTCATTTAACTTGCATGTAACTAACTTATGAGGGAGAGAAAACACTAACATAGGAAGCAGCACAATGTGTTTGTTTGGTTTTATCTTAGTTTGGTAAAAGGGTTTTAAGTTTCTAAACAATAGAAACCAGGTTAGCGTTACTACTCCTAGTTCAGCTCTGTTTAGAGCTGAAATGATATGATTTACTCATGAGCATATAGCTGAAAACCTGGTACCAGTTATTGGTGGGAGGTGACAGGTATCCCGTGAATTACCTGAATTTGCATTACCTAAATTCAACTAAAAGTTGGACTAATCTTGAAACTCTGCAGAGTAAAATAGATATTCACTAGTTGACCAGGAAACCCCTGAGAAAGAAAAGGTAATATAAGGTAATCTGACTCAACTTCCTCTAAGTTATTATAGATTATGCCCAATTTTAGTTTTGTTTCCTTGAGGTAATCACCTAGTGAGCTTGGTAGAAGACTCAATTCCCATCATGTGTTCTCCATCCCTTCCCTTCATATTTTATTTAAAGAACAAAAAAAAGAGGAAAAGATTGCTGAATCTGAGAGCTAACGATAAACATAAAGGAATGAGTTGATGCAGCACTGGCACAGGGAAGATATATGAGAGAACAAGTCACTGCTAGGATGTGATAGGTCTTGAGGTCGAAGACGGCATGAGCCGTAACAGCTGCCGGGGCTGGGTGAGGTTGGGGATTGGGAGGATTCAGTATAGACGGGAAGAAAAGAGAAGCCAACTTCTATGTTCTATGGGCTTCATGAGTTCTTACTTTAAATAAGAGATACTAAGAGCATTTTCCCCTGAATGGGTTGTGGTGCACTGGTGGGAGTGTTTCACCTTTTAACAGAGGTCTCAGGTTCGAGCCCGGGGTATGGAGAAAATCCCTTTGGGAGCGCCACCCCCGAATGGGCCCTGCAAAGCGCGGTCCAGATTTAGTCGGAGCTCCAGTGTGGGCTCCGGACACGGGTGGGAAACCCAAAAAGAAAAAAGAGCATTTTCCCCCTAAAATTGAAGAAAAAAAGAAACAAAAGTTTTGTGGCATCTGGATTTAGGACGAGATTAATTTTCAGGGCTTGTGGATCACCTGATAGGTGTCTTGTGTAATTTAGCAAACTAAATTTTAAATGTCTTGTGCTTGTATCGGCGGAAATTCTCCTAATGGGAACTAAGACAGGTACAAGTCCTAAGGACTTGGTCACACTCACCAGTCATCTTTGTAAGCAACACAAGTTAAGTGCAGGTTTGGACTAAGGATTCTTTTGTGTGGTGCTGTGGGATTTTCTTGTGCTCTAGTTATGATCTTTGAAGTTGCCACGATAATTCATGTCAATCAACTGGCATCGAATAAATAATGCCAGAGAATTTTAAGTTATACTCTTTAAGTTAGTGTCAGCAGAAGATTAGAAAGATTATCCTTTGTGCTTCAATGTGTTCCAAGATTCAAAATCAGATGGCTGATACATGTCTACTAATAAGGCACTACAAGCATATCAGTAGTCGTTTCTGCTCATGGTTCTTGTTGTGAAAGTTACTTTATGTTTTCACTGCAATCAAAGTTGTGCTCTTCTTGAACTGAATGAAAAGGGTTAGACAGGTTTCTTACTTAACCAGAACTCTACATGTATACCTCATTTAAAAGAAAACTTTCACCTTTTTACAAATATCTATCTTTATATTCTATATCACTTTGCAGATTAAGAGGAGGCTTCCCAAAGTTAATCGCACTCTGGTTGAACAACTTCTTGAGAATGAGGAAGCTGAGAATGTGAAGGAGGATGTTGATGACGTTGATGCGAAGAAGACATCAAAGAAGAAGAAAGGACTGACCATGGACGTTCTTGAAGATGAACGTTTCAAACGCATCATTGAAAATAAGGTATACATATTACTTACAAAGATCCACTTACCTGATGTTAAATAACCAGTACAGATTATCATCAGAATAGTTTGGCTGAAAAATAATTACATTGCTTGAACTGATAATCTGGTAGAATGATGATCTAGCTTTCTTCTATTTTGGTAAGTATATTGATGAAGCATTCTCCACAAGAAGACTATGTTACCTGATTTTGTCTGAAGTACTATTTAGATGTACCTGATAGATGTTCTTTAAGCAATTGTTTTTATATTTGCATACTCCTCTTCTACTAAAAAAATTACATTCTTTAAAAAGAAAGTTTCTGCAAGATCCCAATATCCTTCAATTTTTTTGATGTAATTTGGTTTTCCTATAGGACTTTGAAATTGAAGAAGATTCTCATGAGTATCGGGCATTGCACCCTATGCCTTCCTTAAAACGACCATCTTTAGTGGAAGAACATTTTGAGCCTGTGATGGAAGGTGAGGAGGCTAGTGATTCTGATGCACAATCATCAGAAGATGAACAAGAAAATGACAGGAATACAAGAAAGAAGGCCAGAGTTCCGAGGTAAGAAATCAACAAATGCCCTCCTAATTCGTACCACGTTTAGACTAAGTTATTATGCACCATGATACAACTGATGAAGTTCAAGAAGTATCAGTTAGCTCGGGGCATGTTTAACTTCTTACATAGACAAGTTTTTGCACGGGTTTATACAAATCGTGAATATAGTTGATGTCTCACTATCCTTTAATATTTCAGAATGTATGAAGTCAAGGATGATAGGCATGCAGAAGCATTCTCAAACCATATTTCACTTGCAAAAGAGGATGCTCTTTCACTAGGTGAAAGGGTTGCAGGGTTGTCAAATGGCAGAGCTTCTCATGATATGAACAATATTAAGGTTGGTCCCGGAGGTTCGAGAGAAGTTTCATTCTTTTCCAGGAGCTCAGCCAAGTATGTGGAAGATGATGGAGAGAAGGAAACACGAACCGAAAAGAGAAGAGGGGTCCAGTCCTTAAAACTGAAGCCTGAGAGATCAGGTTTTCAGGGGTCAGGTTCTCGAGGGCGGGGGAGAGGAGGAAGAGGTCGTGGAATGGGCAGAGGAAGAGGTAGAGGTAGAGGAAGAGGGAGAGGATGATTTTTTTTTTCATATTAACAATTTGTGTCAAAGGGATGTTATTTATTTTTTTCTTGATGGTGTATTTTTATTAGTAATTAGTTTCTCGACACGTGTGTTGTACAATATAAATCGATCATCAAACATTAAATCAAAAAGTTCAAACAAAATTGTTTGCATGTAGTGCTCCTGTAGTGATTGTACAATATAAAATGGGTCTTTTAAGTGTTACTTTTTGACAAGGAATCAACTCAAATATACTTTTTTGTTCTAAAGTAAGTTAATTTTATTTCAAAATAAGAGTCAATCTTAAGAAATTGAGATAAATAGATTTCTTCCATTTTTGTATCATAGACAAAGTATCTTTTTGATTCTGCCTACTTCTATCTGTGTAGTATATTGGTTATGATTATTTTTTAGTATTCTATTTAACGTGTCACGATAATTAAAGTTTTAAAATTTATATTTTTAGATCAAAGTAGAGTCTAGTTGTTGGAATAATAGTAGTTACAGCTATTTATGTCCTTGTAAGTAAAATTGGTGAATTAAGTGTTCTCGTTGCGTATAAAATTGATGGTTTAAATAAAGGTACAGACATAGAGATTTAAATTTTTGATAAACAAAAATAATACATAGTTATTTCAGCGCTACGTCTTAAACAACTCGACGGCCATCTCTCATAAATAATCATTACCACTCCAAAACCAAGTCATCATAATCAATATTTCATTATTGGATTGATAGTATCAAATCATTTCAAAACGAAATAGTTAATTTTTAATGAACGTAATTTTTGCTAACAATTGACACGGAAAGAGTATATGTGAACTCTTTCACTCTCCCCCTATAGTTAATTTCCCAGTTATTTCATCAAATAAAACTTTCTACAATCTACACGCCGTACGCGTTACACTATCTCTCGAAGCAACCTCTAAATTAAACTTTCATTCTCTATTAAATAATAATTCATTCCCTTTTTCTTCATCATCTACATCAAATCTGCTTCAATGGAGCCTCCAAATCCCCAGCAATTCCAGCAATTTCTCAGCAGTGTTCTGTCTCAGCGTGGTCCAGCTGCACTTCCTTATGCTGAAGATGTGAAATGGCTGATTCGTCAACATCTCCTTTCTTTAATCGATATGTATCCTTCACTTCAGCCGAAAACTGCTTCATTTACTCATAATGATGGAAGGACTGTGAATCTATTGCAAGCTGTAGGTACTGTTCCGATGGTTTATCTAGATCGTACGTATAATATTCCGGTGATTATTTGGTTGATGGAATCTTACCCACGTCATCCGCCGTTGGTTTTTGTGAATCCGACTAGGGATATGGTTATTAAGAAACCTCATCCGTTTGTGAATCCATCTGGGATTGTGTCGATTCCGTATTTGCAGAATTGGATATACCCTAGTTCGAATCTTGTTGAATTGGTTCGTAATTTGAGTCATTTTTTTGGAAGGGATCCTCCGCTTTATGCCAAAGTACAAGCACATCCATCAAACCCTAACCCTAGTCCTAGGCCTACCCCTACCCCTAACCCTCATCCTCCGCCAAGTACGAGTTTTCCTAATCACAGCTCGCCAGTCGGGTCATATGGGATTCGGCCTGCGATACCTCCTCGGCCAGTTCAACAACCACCTTATGGTGCAGTGAAACATGATGATCCGGAGGAGGTTTTTAAGCGGAACGCGACAGATAAGCTGCTTGTTGACTTGCATAATGATATAGTTGGGTTGAGGAATGCACAGGAGAAGGATATGGATGGGTTGTTTAATGCTCAGGGAGTGTTGAAGCAGCGGGAGGAGCAGTTGAAACAAGGGTTAAAGGAAATGCAGGATGAGAAAGAGGGGTTGGAGCAGCAATTACAGATGGTTTTGATGAATAGTGATGTATTAGAGGGATGGCTGAGGGAGAATGAGGGGAAAGCGACCAATTTAGGGAATGTGGATGTGGATACGGCCTTTGAGCCGTGTGATAGTCTTTCCAAGCAGATGCTGGATTGCACGGCATCAGATTTGGCGTTAGAGGATGTGATTTATTCGTTGGACAAAGCTATACAAGGCGGGGCAATACCATTTGACCAGTACTTGAGGAACATCAGGTTGTTGTCCCGCGAACAATTCTTTCATCGTGCTACAGCATCAAAAGTTAGGGCTGCTCAGATGCAGGCTCAAGTTGCTAATATGGCTGCTAGAACATCACAATATGCATTGTGATAGACATCTGATCACTTGCAGGTGTGTTTGCAATAGACTGAAGGTCAATATATTTCTAGATTGGTTACTTGTGAATAATCTGTCAATGTGCTATATCTTTACCAATAGATTTTGACACTACATTTTGGTGCAGGTGTTTAATTGGTATTTATTGGTTTTGTATCGTTTTGTTACCAAAAGTATAATCACATAAAGGGATTTTCCCTACAATGATATCCACGATTTTCATTTCTGTCAAGTCATCCCACTTCTATGGGATTGTGATTTTGGACCAAGATTAGTGTTCTGTCACTCTCCCAAAATTGAGTAGTAAGAGGTTCAACTCTTTTGTCTTCCACTTTAGTCTTTGCAATTAGGCCGTTTTTAGGATGGATGTCTATTCTTTCAAATTATAGTTATGGCGATCAACATTCTGTTCAAATGCATATGCATATCTTTGTGTACTTAACTTTCTAGCAATGTAGCATGAGTGTTTCTCCATCTGATGCTGTTTGTCCAAACAAAAGAGTTTAAAGATGTGTGACTTATATAGTTAGTGATAGCGGAACATATTACAGCAATAGTTGAGAAGTTAGTTTAATATAACATTTGAAATAGTTTACTGGTTCGGTTTATTGAAAGCTGCAAAGAAATAGAACTTATCAAAATTTTGGAATGTTCCAAACATGAAAAATGTCACGTATGAATTGGAATATTGTGTAAGCATTTGGGTACCAATTCTTGCTTTCGAGTGTATTGGAAACTCAGGAAAAGGGCAAGTACCCAAGCTAACTCGTCCCGAGTTTTCAGTTACACACCTGTACTTTATAGGATCTTATTGACCTTACTATTCCGAAGTGAAATAAGAACCCCTCCAAGTGTTGGTGTGGTGGAAAAGTGAGTTTGTGTGTGTAGATGACTGCATGCTTGAAATCTTGGTTTCTTGTTTAATGGGTTCATTTCAAGAAAGTTAACCTCTGCAAAATGCAGGTGTCTAACAGCAAACCTGGGAGTACTCAATTAACATCCATTTGCTGTGCCATCTAATCACACTCAAAATCCAAAACCAGGAACTTGTGTGGCTCTTTAAAACCATATTATGAAATTCATACACCCCATTATAGAACAGGTAGCTTAGACTTTAGACTTGTACAAAGAAGTACTTAGTTTAGAGAATCACTAGATCTATATAGACATCGTTACACGTTAAACTATATAATGTATTTGAGGTAGTTTATCCGTAGTCTTTCATGGACCACTAGCTCTTTTGCTTGTTTTCTAATTTTTGGCTGGGAGCCTCAGTAGTCAACACCTAAAACCTTCCATGTTTACTTGGTCCACCTCCATCAAAAACTTTTCACCTACATCTTGGCATTGCCGTGATTACGGAACTTTTCAAACGAGTTGATAGTTATTCCCTGGTTGCACCCCACCGTGGGTTCTAATTTACTAAATCACATCTTTCTATTTTCGGAACATCACATGTAGAACTTGGTGGGCTTCTTCTGTGTGTTGGATCCTCCAAAGTGATACATTTTTAGAGAATCCATCATGGATGCAGAAACATTTTTGGAGGGTCTAAGCAACATAGCCTGCAATTGCTAATGATTAGAATGACTTGAGGTGGTGTACTATCCTTTATATGGGGGATGAGTTTGGCTTCAAGTTAAGGGTCTAAGGAGTGGAGGTCCTTATGAAATGATTAAGTTAGGGTTTTTTACTTTTATTGGAATATGTCCCAGGCATTTTGATCTAGAAGACTTGAGATCAAGTCATGCTCGTCGCTATTGTTTGTTCAGGCGCAATAGCCTGGGATGCTCTCCAGACATTATCTTGAAGTGAAGTCTCGAGTTCTTCATTTACTGTTGACACTAGCTGCAAACTGAGTAAAATCATTGGATACTTTTGACACTAGCTGTAAATTGAGTAGAAAAATTATGAGACATGGAACTTGTTTTGCTTATTGATTGTTTGATGACACTCCCTCTTTTGCTGTCATACTAAATAGTCATTATCCAGGTGAAACATGTAACTTATGACTGTCGTTGCTTAACGACTGCCTGTTTATGCCAGTTTGACAATATGATTTTTTAAGTAGGCAGACGCCCAACAACAATGTACGTACTAAATTGTGTAAACTTGTGACTTAAAAGCAATTATTTAGCCCCTCAACCTATACTTGTGTCAATGGGAATAAACAGTTCATATATAATGATAAAAGTTCGTGTTTGTTCTATCTCCACAATATAATTTGGCAACGGAAAGGCTAATTAGAACCTAGCCTTTTTCCTTGTAGTGTCAGACTCGAGCAGTTGAATATAATAAAAAGGTTACAACAGACCAAGAATGCCAAGTATTGTATTATAGACCTATTTTCTTGCCATCAGCTATGCACTGATCTGGCCAGGCCCAGCAATACATCAGAGGTCTTTGGGACACATTGCAGCATTGTGCCAGTAAATGTGCATACATTAAGAGTCGCCATTAACATTTTTGGCTATCAAGTGCTATAATCTTTCCTTGACCACAGTTCTTGAAAGTTTCCTACTGTCCCATGTCAGTATCAGAGTCTCTGCATGCACTGGAGTTGTACAAGTTCCGGATTTCGTAGAACCGAAAGAGCGTCTTTTTAAATTGCATCTTGCAATCTTCAGTATGCATAAGAAGTTCCTGTCAGGAAACTGAACAAGACATACAAATATCAGGATGACAATGTAGAGGGTGTCTAGATTATTAAGGACTGCTTAGCAATACTTCTATGGAGGCAATGCCAGAAGCAACACCCCTTGACACGGAAAAGAAGATTCATTTGAACCACTTTACTCATAGGTATGCAAGAAGCTAAACAGTAATACTATTACAGTTGCAAAAGAGATTAACAATGAAAAAGAGCAGAAAAAATGGGGTCTGAATCTGCAACATTAGAGCTATACTGGAGCACATTATATGAGCTATACAAGAGCGGATTAGAGGTCTTACATCTGGAAGATCAAAGTCACCATCCTTTGCATCACATACGTCGACTGCTACCTTCCGGAGCAGTGGCATCTAATTGCATTAAAATAAATTATTAAGAAATGTCAGGGTTCACGTCTTGAAAGGAAAAACACAAATTATCTTATGCTTACCCTTGAAGCAGCTCGGATAATAAAATTTCTGTCAATTCCGAGTCCCTATCATTCAAAAGTTGAACTTCAGTTCAGTAATGACATTTAACTTATGAAAGCACCTTCAAAGAGCGGATTAATATGGTACTTCACATAATGATAAATCATGGCAAGAATGTCATGTCAGCCACATTAAAAACTTCCTAAAGTTTGTACAGGCTCAAATAGCGAGTTTGGACTCTCTGACTTCCTAGAAATCCTCATCCATAGAACGAAAAGGAAAACATGAATCAGATTAAGTTCGTATTTATATTTATTCTGCCCATTGGAATTCATTATTCAGTATTATTGATCCTCCCCCATTTGGCTTTTATTTGATTTACAGAAGTGCGTAAAGTTCAGTAGCAGAAGACTTACATTATGACGTAGTAAAAGATCTTCAAGTGCTTGACAATTCATAAGCGAAGTGACACCCTGGGCAGTTACTTCACCACAGTCCTAAACAATATTAGACCACATGAAATTGTGAGAAAACAGACGTAACTAAATTACATTTCTAGAGGAAATAAACAATATAAGTTTCCAGCCCAAGATAATAGTGATGGAACAAGCCATAAAGAATGCTAGAAAGGACTAAATGATCAATTTCTTCTTTTTGGTTGAGCATCTCATCTATATATGCGACATCTGAAAGGAAACTACCTATATCTCCAGTCATATGGAGTTCTCAGATAACTAACAGTAAAAAAAAGTGACATGAAATCAAACTAATTATTTAAATGCTTCCGTGGAAAAACAAAATGTGTTAGGCCCAAGGTCCAGAACACAGGGAGTTCAGATTCCCACCACAAATGCATCTCTGTGGAAATAACCTTTTTCTTTAGTTAGAAACGTAGGTAACAGGTCGCAAATCTTAGGTTGTAACAACTGCACGTCAAGAATATATAATGGCCAAACAAAATACACCTAACACGCTAGTGTATTTCTCCTCCCCATAACTCCCCATGCAGATCATTTGGAACCTGAAGCATATAGAGACCCATCACATAAGCAACTTCAAATTCTTTTTTCAGCTTAAAGAATTAGAAATTTCAAGAGAAACACGAAAGTAACTCAGCAAGTATACAGCAAGTGGAGTGAAAATAACAACGGTGAACCTCTAAATGAAGGGAGATCAACCCTGGCCAGCCATTTGAAATAGTATCTTGTGACTCTGCAAAGAAACATTATAAATCATACAACCAGGATTTCATCTCATAGTTGATCTGCCAAAAAATTTCCAATATATAAGAACAACATGGAGCTTCAAAGTTTGCAAACTAAAGCGAAATTTAACTTATGAATCATGCGCTGTAACTTGGGGAAAGAAGGATAGAGTGCAAATGTAGGGACACTAAAAGAGTGACTAACACCCAATTTGGTTTTAGCTAGGTAGATCTATAATAAAGGTTATATTCTTGCTAAGAGATTGATTAAAATTTATAGGGAGAGAAGGAACATCTACACATTACATTATTGATCTAGAGCAAGCGTATCAACAAATGCCCTTTCGTCGATATTGGAGAAGAACTGGATCAGTATTAGATATATAAAGAATGTGTGGAGAAGCCATCACTAGTGTTATGAATCAGGACATTTTTAACATGACAAGGGTCAATTCCTTGTAAATTTGGAAAAAGTTCGGAATACTTGCAATTGAGTAATTAGGAATAGGAGCTACTTTCCTTTCTCTATTTGGATTACTTGTAAACACTATTTAAATAGTTGAGGAAATAATTAAGCAATTTATTTCCAAACTCTTTTTTTTCTCATTTTTTACCGCTAGTGTGAGAGCAGTGTAAGGACAAACAAAAGGAGTTCTCAATAGCAGTAGGTTTACACCAATTATTTGCACTTAACCTGTACTAGTTATATTCTATCGGTGATTTAGCCCGTACATGTTAACCCCAATTATGAGATGAGTTCCCATGGGGTATGCTATTTGCAGACAATATTCTGTTAATTGATGACATCACTGAGGATGTTGACGAAAACTAGAACTAGGGATAAGCTTTCTAGAGGTTTTTAGTTAGGATAAGTAGAAGTAAGATAGAATACATATTTTTTGAAAACAATTAAGTATATATGCACCACATGTTTTGCCAACATAAGAAACTCATAGACGACGTGGAATAAGACAGAATTATGGTTGAAAAGAGATAAGGAACACCTAAAATCACATGGAAAATTTGTTTCAAAACACCTAAAGTCGCTTGAAATCCAGGCAAAACTTGGAGAAAATAAAGGCATAATGGAAGAAAAAAATGAAAAATAAGTGATCCTGTTTGTTGAAATCATGTTGGTACACTTGCTTTGAGTCCAATATTCGTTAGGACTTAGGAGTCTTTTAGTGTTGGCAGAGATTTGCATGCCTGCAAAAGATGTACATGATTTCTAGTGCTAGAGAACATATAATATTTTGGACATTAGAACGACAGGCCAAATGGAGCACATGAATAGCGAGTATTTATATAGACAATCCTAACTAGCTTGGGGGATTGAAGTGTGGTGGTGGTTGTAATTGTCTAATTGATCTAAAGGAATAAGTATAGCAAACTGGATTTTGCTTGTTACAACTGGATGAACCTTAGACAAGGGAATTTTTCAAACATCATACAAATTCAAAACAAGATGTTCTTGAGAGTATTGCAGACCTGAATTAAGACGTTTGCATCCCACCAGCGAAAGCTCAGTTAAGTTCATGCAATTCCGACTAAGGATAAGCAAATCATCATTGGTCATCTGAGTTGATACTCTTTCAAGCTTCAATTTCCTCAAACGTGGTGCACTGGACTGGAAGCTTAATGAGGAAATCTCACCAAAGCAATAGCATAAAGCTAAGACTTGCAAGTTTTTCAAGGTCTCCAATATATTTCTTACAACAGAATCAGATACTACCTGTTAAGATCAGCAATACTAAGTAAGCAACACTGATTTCAAGCACTAATCTAAAATGCACACCATCTAGGACTCGGACAAGATGCAGTAACCGAATTCAGATATCCAGGTGCAACAAGGTATGACAGATTGTGTTATACAACTGGATGCCCCGATTTTTCTATCCTCAATAAAATGGAACAATTGACATTTCCTATCCATACAAACCTACTTATAAATGTTCAGATGTATGTCAGACCCTGTATGTAATAAGTCTGGAGAAAAGAATCACAGGGCCTAGCCTACTTTATCCCGATAAGTCCCATTATTAGAAGTTTATATCATAAAACACTTGCATTGTATGCCCTCTGCCTGATTTCTTTGTTGGTTTGCTTTTTATGTCAAAATTTTATATATCTGACCACAAGTTCTTAGCTTATATATCAATATTTTTTGAAGATTAATCATTAATGTGTTAATCAAAATCCAACTTAAGGTCCAGGAAAATCACCAAATTCCATTTCTTAATTTTATTGAATGATATTAAAAGGTATCATTCTAAGCTTTTATAATCTAACATAATGATGAACAGATTTAGAGACAACGAAGAAATTTTAGTTTTCAAGACCATGTAAATTAGTCTAGGACCTTGAAACAGGTTCTAGCCCTCACCTTAACTTTTAAGGATAAAGATCCAAGGTAAAGATAACTATCATCACACTTAATGTTACTTGAAGAAACATGAAGTAACACTTGAAGAAATCATTACACTTCATCATTATAGTAAAGAAACTAGAAGGCGGTACATTACAGAAAGAGAACTCAAGACAATGAGAAATACTTCATGAAAGTGGTTAGGCTTGAGGAACCATGCTTGGAATAGACAAGACAAAATGGCAAACAAGATCTGGGAATGAGTTGCAACGATCCCACCGTTCACGACTATACTTATTCTGTCATTACATTTCCTTACAATTTAAATGATTGAAAACCCGCTCAGGCCCTCAGCCCATCAGCTCATTGAGCATAATCCAATATGCACGCAGTATATTGGATTGAAACTACGCAAAAAAACTACCTAGAACTTTTGCATTGACACATTACCTGGAAATAAAGAATCAAGGTCTCTAGCCAAGGACAAAAGGTGGGTACCAGTTTGAGCCCATCTTCACCTAAAGATCCACCTAAACCAACAATAAATGTCCTCAACATTTTAATTGCTGGACGCAGGGCCTCCAATGAAAAGAACGAGAATCCCCAACCAAGAGAAATTTCCTCCAAATTGCAGGACTTCCCAAGCTCATAATATAATACAGGAGAGTTCCCTAGAATATAATTTTCCTCTTGTAATAGATGCCTGCAGCCTCTGGCAATCAGACATTTTAGAAGAGGATTTCCGCGGACAACATGACCCACTGCACCGCAAGAAACCTGTAATTCCAAAATGAATAATATATTGGTTATACAGACAAATCATCTGTCTATAAACATCATTCTTCCACAAATGCTCCACCTATAGAGTCCAAATTAAAGTCCCAAATATTGCTCCCTTCTAACTATTCTGAGCTGCTAAAAGTCAATAAAACCAAGTGAAACACCTTGGCGTTTTTGGCACTACTCAGTACTCACAAGTCCATGTAGTGGAGGGAGCTTACACAGAGATGTGGAGAGTTTAGCAACAGAAAGCATAGATGTTTGCTGACGTTTAACATTTTCTTCAGAATGCATATATTTGATTTCCAGAAACATTTAAAAGTCAGAATAAGTCCATTTTAGGAGCTTCGACTGTTAAAATTGTAGCATTCTTTTTTGAGTCTTTGGCAGCTTTGTCATGTGTGTCGCCTGTCGGAGTCTTTTATACAGGCCAAAAACATACAAATATTATTTTCAGCATGGCAGATGGTGCGGTACTACAGTTCAACCTAAGACCTCCACTCTATCAACACCTTACCCTAAAAGCTTGATCCTAGAGCAAACTGATAACATAGAAATCACATATTTTCCAAAAAAACTTGGAGAACATAGACTTTAAGTTCTTCCACTGCTTACAAACCTTAGTATCAGATACATCAAGCATTTCCAGTGATGATCCTGGAAATTTATATAGAGAATTGTTGACAAGCTGTGTTTCCCTCAAACAAAGACTTCTTATACTCTGAGTTTGAGAGATAAGCTCCAAAAGAGAATTCTCATTGATACCTGCGAATGAAGAGAGTGTTCTAAAATTAAGTGAAAGAGATATAATAAACTGGAAAAGAGGATATAATCATGTCCCACATATATATTTTTTTTGAAATGGTAACTTTGTCTATTCCTCGAAAGTCAGTACACTGATCAGTATTTCAAATTCCCACATGTATTTCATCAACAGATAATTATGTAGCGCAAATATTATTGCCAGCTTCCTTATCTTACAATTTAGATCCTTACATGAGATTCCAACAGTCAAAAAAACACTCTTGAATACAGTTGAGCAAGAATTTTGTTTGTTATATAGGTGGCAGTGATTAAAATTAAGTTCCAGCTGTCATTGTTCAAAATTAAATAACTCTTTAAACTATCAAGAAATTAAATGAGTTGTAAGTTGCTTCGACTGAGATTCAGGTGGAAACCAAAACATGCAGCATCCTCTGCTAAATCCTTACTTTTGTGATTTCAGAAAGACTTCAGCATTTAAGCTTGCAGTTTTTTTTTGAAAAAGGAGTTCTTATATATCCACATTGAACTAAATTTTATCAACAGTCACATTGGAAGATGCAAAGCAGTAACTGCTAACCATAGTTTTAAATAAAAGCTTCTATGTACAAACTTCAGTTTTGTTAACAAACATTGGCATGGAGGAGGCAAGGCAGAAAACAAAATCTAGAACATCGCTCACCTTTACAGCCTCCTATATGCAGAATTTGAAGTTTGTAAGCTAATGAATTGGTGTCGTCTGCCATCTTCATTGCCACAGCGTCAAGTCTAGAGATATTACGGCGAAGTGACAGCACACAATTGTGTCCAAATGAAGTATCACACGCAAAGATTGAATGCAGTTCAACACATTTCAATACTAAAATGGATATGCCAGAATCCGTTATGGACGTACATGCATTGAGGTTAATACAACATAAGGAAGGACAGCACTCCGCAATATTTTGGAGATCAGAATCTGGAGAATATCAAAGAGAAGTAAAGTTAGCTCAATGCAGAGGGCATCATATCATTAAGAGCATCCAAGCAAGCTGAATTTCCAATAAAGATCCTCTAACAGCTCGAGTACGTACAGACGAGATTCCAAGGCAACATATGGATGTGATTTGTTGGATGTGATTTGCAAACTATATGCATGAGAAAATGAAAGTGGTGTCACTTACAGAACACAATGTAACAGCTAAATGCAGTACTCAACATTTACATAGCAAGAGTTTGGAAGAACTTTCTAAGATAGATTGCATAATTGATAGGCGGGAACTAAGCGAAGATAAGAGGATGATTCTTTTTACAGTGGTTTTTCCTCCCTACACCTTCAGTATATAAGCTTTCCAACATATCAGGTATTATTTTTGGGTTAGTTCCTAAGCATGCTTTTAGGCTCATACCTTTTAACCAAGAATCAAATGAAGTGGGAAAAGTACTTGGGTCTTTAAAAAAGATCATTTCTAAAGGCCAGAAAATGAAAAATGGTCTCCTGGAAAGAGACTTTTCCTTTGGTCAGGATGGGGTTTGAGCTAGAAGAGATGGCCAAATATCATACCATAGATATCTGTTCGACCCTCCAATATGAGTTTTGTAATATTCGAGAGCTGCCTAGAAAAGTGAAATACTGGTACATCAGGACATGTCTCATCATTGGGAGATGTTGATATCTGCAGCATCACAGCAGGAAATGAAGATATAACTGAGACCTTTGCTGGTATTACAGGAGTACTGTCCACTGTTAGATCGATGTCTGAGAGTAGTGGACATCTCTGTAACAATTGGTACAGCTTCATTGTCCTGAAGGTCAAAATATAAGCAGCTTTTAATGTTGTTAGGGATGGAAATGACTTGGAAAAGAACTCAATGGCAGCTTCAAGATGCAGCATAGGACAATTTGAAACATCCACTACTTGCACTGCTTCAAAAGTCAAAACAGGGAATGTTTCCCATGAAATCCGAGATATATCCGCATGGCGCTCAAGTTTGAGTGAAAGCTGATTAAGCTTCTTCATCAGCAATTTGTCCAAATAATAGGAACAGGGAAGCATGTTTAGGAGAAGAAGAGGCAGATTAATTTGTGGGCAGCCTGAAAGGTCCAATATCTACACAGGAGATTCAGAAAAAGAATTAAGCAATGAAAATGGTTGTTAAGTGATAACATTGTATGAATATCAAAAAAGAGGGAAAATGAAGAAAAAAAGATTGTTTCACATTTACACTGTAAGTAATATTTTATATTCAAGCGAGCAACCCTACTCTTGATGATGTTGAATGTGCTAATCTTTTAGTTCCAACAAGTGATTAAAGGGAAAAAGATGAATTTAGAAATCGTGCCCAAAGTACTAGCAAGTTCAACTATTGGGAAGTCTCCAAGAACAGATAGGGTGAAGTGAAAACTATCAGCAGAGTCATTTGTTCCCATCATTTGAATTGTCTGCAAAATATTAGCATTATTCTATATATTGAGAGACGACACAAAGCAAAAAGATATTAAGCTATCACAATTCAGAAATCTATTTCTTAACAGAAAAGGATGTCTAGGTCTAAAATAAGTTGTAGACACTCATTGTTTTTCTTTTTGTTATCATTTTGCTTCTACATAAGAATATAAAGAACTTCATGTGAAATGACTTTCATTAGTTGTCAGACTTGCCACTTTATTCCCCAGATTTCAAGCCATCTAGAATCTTTAATTAGTCAATCAATCAGAATGGATAAGACAACTGTGAGTCGTTATGTGGACTACATTTGTGTGGCATTTAAAGAAAAATGAAACACTGAGAGGATGCTGGTAAAATGTAAACCTTAGTATATTCAGTCAAGCGGATCCTGAGCTGATTACAGTCACCACCTCCAAGAATGTCTGCTAAGATAAAGGAACGGGAGGCAGCTAAACTACAGATAGCAACCACACTTCTTTCTGCAAACTTTGAGAAGAAGGGGCATCTTCGTTTCACTAAAATGTGAACAACAATACAGAAATTATCAGAAGGAACAACACTTGAGCATTATTTGAAAGTAACATCTCAAAGGACTGTTCATACCAGCAGCAAACGGCAATGATAAAAGGCTAGTACGGATCTGTTAACAAAGACAATGGTCACATAAATTACTTAAGTCAGTCTAATCAAGAAAGAATTCAAATCCATATGTAGCAGAGATATCGGGGCAAGAATCATAAATCTTCAGCTTGTAGCTTTTAGATTTGTAAATTTTTTGAGTAGTGGAAAAAATTTCTTGCACCCAAAAGGGATTGAGCTGTTCATGAGTTTCATTTCACACTAAGACCTTTTTAGAAAGGGATTGAGCTGAAAGAATGCGGTCACTAGAAATTGTCACAACCACCCTTTTAAGCCTCTCTGACCCACATGAATACAGACAAAATTCAATTGGAAACATCACGTCATTTAATCAATCCCAACAATATCATATACCTCTGTTAGAATTTCAAGGCGAGCATCACCAGTGGAGCTCAAACGATCAGATGGGTTGGTGTTAGCGGCAAGCCATAGTAGAATAGCATCACAAAGATGCTTCTCACTGTGAAAAATCACCATGAAATCAGAATTGTAGTTGAAATGAGACATTGCATCAGACAGGCCTTTGTTTTTCCAGATAAAGAGAATACCTACCTATCTACTGTCAAACAAGGTTGCTTTACACAGGTAAGCAACAATTCAAAAGGGACATTGTGAAATGAGTCGCAGGATGCCATCCATATCTGCAGTAAGAAAGAAATTTCATCAGGAACAGTTGTTGGAAAGTAGAAAGAATCATCTGACATGACATGCCAACAAATAATTCAGAATAATTAAGACTAATATGAAGGACAACATGTTTTCTCTGGCTTCTGTTGCTAAATCACTGCAACAGATCCTGGGCTTGTTTGTAGCTAGAAATGTTCCTATTTATATTCAAAGTTATATACTTATGATATTCAGCACAATTGACATAAAAAGCACACACACTATTAACTACAAGAGTGAAGTAAGAAATTTGAAAAGCTGAAACAGATCTAATAGCATGAAAATGTGTTGAAATTGTTTTAGTTACTGTAGTAATTATTTGCATAATAAGTTGCTAGTTTTAAGACAAATCTATTTCAGTTACTATGCTGAATTATTATTTTTTGGTAACTACTCTCAAAATTCACATTTTTTTTTTTTGGTAACAACTCTCAAAATTCACATTTCACACTCACTGGCTAACTCTAACCACAGGAAATAGAAGTTTTTCCAGAGAAATTGTCAAAAGAAAATTAGAATACGCCTGCCCTTACCATTGAATGATATAAAGTTACTGCAACTAAACAGCAAAATTGCTGCCAAAATTTTTGATGAACTTGTTTTTGCAGAAGTTACCCATGGAAAAGAGAAAAGAATTGCATGATGGAAATGGAAAAAAAGACAGTTATTACATTGTGGGGAAAATAAGACTGGAGAAGGGAGAGAGATCAAGGACGAGCATGAATAGACAAAGAAAAATAAAAGGTATGCAGATATGATTTTGTTGACCATCCATCGAGGTATGTTATATGTTTATACTTCCAAATCAAACCAATCAATGCAAGTAAACATTGAATGGCAGAACAATTTGGGAACTTGGACAAAGTACACTTTAAGCACTTACAAAGTTACTCGCCAGATAACCAGTCAGCTGTGGAATAAAATCAATTGCTGCATGATATTCCATGTTAATCTATAAGAGACAACCCATGGAATCACATTAAAATGTAATATGATAGCAATATGCAGCAAATATCATATTTCCAGTTGCTAAAATAAAAGATATTGTTACCATTCTCTCTACCATAATCCCAGATATGGACCAAATCTTCTAAACACAATTCAGGAGGCCAAATCCTGACTTCAGATGTTACGTAGTCCAGCCAACTTCGACAAACCAAAAGAAGCTTGTCCACTCCAAAAAATAATGCAGCCTGACAGAATAAATATCAGATTAGATTCTTACTAATAAAACTTCAGGATCAGATATATAAATTATTAGACATACAACCAACAGGTTGTATCTGATCACCGGTCAGAGACTTGCAAAGCAAATATCCAGTCAAAAGGGACCTTCAAGATATAGTAAAACATCAAAGAGGGAAAATGAACATCTTTCCAACAACATTGTGATGCAAAAGACAAAACTTTCTGAACTAAAGTTGGAGTATGCTTTCTCCTGGAGTATTCTAGCATTGGGCTCAATGCAAATACAGCACACAATGATAATTGACAAATGTAGCATTCTTTCATAAAGCTTCACCTTCTTTAGTGACCCCCAATAAAGAGATCATTTATGTGATGCAATTCGAGTTTGACTGGACTCGGAGTTCAAGAAATATGAGAAGACTTTACAATGTTCCAAAACTATCCCTAAAACAAATAAAATTTTAAAATAGGAAAGTACACTTTTATGTACTTTTTGCCAAATAAGTGGACACAACATGTGAAAAAATGTTGATAGTGTCATTAAATATTTGTCAAATAAAGAAATGTGTCATTTTTTTTGGGACTGACTAGAAAGGAAAGTGTATCATATAAGGTGAGATAGAGGTACCTAATTTAACCCCATCCACCTCAAAAAAAGAGGAATGCTGAACTTTTATCCATTACAAGGGCAAGACTTTTCATTGGCAGGCACTATGACATCAATAAGATAACAGAAAATAGTAAAGTACTCTCACAGGTTTCCAAGTTACCCACAGATAAAACATCAGAAAATCCTTTTCAGCAAATAAAACTAATTGTAGACAACCATACTGCAACTGGAATTCTTACCTCATACAATGGAAGGAAGTTTTCTGAAGTAAGGTCTAATGAGCATCCAAAGATAAATTGCAACATACTCAGAAGTGACTCCATGTCCCAATGAATAGATATAGAGTCACAACAAGATTCACTGAAACAGTTGAACCATATAATAAAGAGGTAAGGTAATCTCTCAAAAGAAAGGAATTATGTTATAATATTGTCTAAATTCTTCATATTATATCGTGTACTCCCTGTGTCCCAAATTATGTAACAGTGTTTTAACTAGGTACGGAGTTAAAGAATGGAAGGCTAAGGCTTTTGAAAATTGTGGTCTAAAACAAAGCCATAAACATTTTATGGCTATAAATCATTTCACAAGAGTGAATAGAAAGCTTAAGTTAAATTGTTTGTAAATAAGGAAGAATGACATTCTTTTCGGGACAAATAAAAATAAAGGTGGATCTAGGATTTGGAAGTTCCAAGTGCCATGACGTCGTCTTGAACAGTAACAAGTGCAGCATTTTCTGTTAGTAGCTTCAATATTTACAAAGAAGATGTTATATCAAAGATATATCATCGAATTTGTAAACATTGAAGGCCTTGCCTTATTGGTTTGGTTGAGTCTCAACTCTCAAGTTAGAAGAGGTCTAAGGTTCTATTCTATTTAACTACAATAATTTAGGAGTCTCCAATCTGCCAAAGCATGTAGCTGCAGGGTAGCTTAACTATTGTAACTTGCTCCAGAAAGACATAAAACAAGTAGCCATTGGTAAACGCTTCACTAAGAAACAAGCAGTAAACTAGTATTTTGTGTTCCCAACTCGTTTCAGACTAAAACAAATTTGTACGATTATACTCAAACTCATACAATACATTTGAATTTCAGTAAAATTTAACAAAAAAATTTATACCTGAAGCTTCCACTCAATAGTCCATGAAAGTACGAAGACTGTCGAATGAGCCTGCACTTCAAAAAAATCAAGTGAAACGAAAAAAAGTTCACTTTATTTTTTATAGGTGTGAAGGTAAAACAGAGAGAAATAAACAAAAAAAAAGTAATTTGCCTTTGCCGATTAGCTTTGATTTTAATGATTGAGCGATGGCCAAGTAATGTTAAGTCCCATCGACTGACTTCAGCTGTTGAAATGACAATCTCTTCGCGATCTCCGTCTAGTCTGGACTCGTTGGAGTCGATACAGTTGAGAATTACTGTCTCGCCGTCGGCAGTATCGACGTCGGACTCCATTACTGGAAGTTTTTGGTACCGGATTCAGGTAGTTCAGTCTTGAGAGTGAAGATGGAGGAGGAAAATTGGACCCAAATGCAAAAATACTTTATTTCTTTTAATATGTTCACATATTATTAATATTTATAAATAAAAATAACCAAAAGAAATTGTTTTTGCATTTGAGTCCAATGTTCAAAATATAAAAAATTTATATATTTATATTAATTTATATTATTTTATTTTTTAATAAAAGAAATTAAGAAAATATTGTTTTATCTTCTTATATTTTATTTGCTGACACTTATATTATTTTATTTGTAAATTTTTTTTTCTTTAAATATTCGACGTATTGAAATAATACTCTATCAAAAATAAGTATCAATACTTAAGAAATATTGAATAACGTGCATATCCACTTTAATTTATTCTTATATTAATAAGCATTGTAGAAAATATATTAAAGGGGTATATAAGCTATCAAATTCTTGAACTAAATTTATGATTTTAATTTCTAATTGATCTTGTTTTTGTCAGAAGTTTGTTAATTTATTATTTGTAGAATTACATTAACCGTTGATATAATGCTTTGCTTGTACAAAGATGAGCATGAAAGCTTCTATCCTCTTCTTTTTTATCCAAATAATTTTACTTATAATATAAAATTTGTCAATTTGATATTTTGTGAAAGGCGTAAATTATAGAAAAAATACTTATAAATAAGACAAATCAACTAATAAGCTTAGTAAACGAGTAAAAATAATGCTTCTCTCCTCTTACTTTTTCTTTTAAGATATCTTTCCCTAAATAAGAGAATATTCTAAACTATATTTTCACCGGTCATTTTCTTCATTTTTCATAATATTTTGACGAAACAAACATAAGAAAATTGAAAAACATTTCCTCTGTACCATACAAACCCCACGACTTGTGTTATTTTTACATCTATCTTAAATGGCACCAATGAGAAGAAAGAAATGATATTGGTTTGATAAGAAATTTTGATACATCAAGTTCTGTTTGCCTGGATGAAGAGAGCTAAAATTGCAGATTCTATATAGATATATACTACACAAGAGATATTATATCAGCAAAGTGAAAATTTGGAGGGGGATGAACATGAAGAACAGATTGATCTTGGTGTGGATACACAGTCTTAGTACTATATTGGAATACGACTCTCGTCACCAGGTTTGTATCGAAACCTATATTAAAGTAAATTTAAACTTTTCAGGATTGTTTTTCTGTCTTCCGCTGCGTGTTATGAACATTGTGCAATCTTCAGAACAAGCATTTACACTAGCTATAGAAGAGTTATGGAGCCATTGCCAAGAAGTGGAGAGTGATGAGCTGAGGAGTACGAACCGGCATGGGAGTTGATCATACAGAACAAGGTCTAGGTGAGAGGTTAGTCAGTTCCAAAGCCTGCCATCTAATCTCAGCAGGGAAGTCAGCAAAACAGCCAATTCTTGGTCCAGCACCTGTTGACCACACCAAGGGAAGTTGATAGGACTTTGGAGACTTCTCGGAATGAATCCTTCGTAGTATTGGAGTCCTTGACATCTCTGCTATTGGGATCTGAAGACTGCCTGAGAGGGATCGGTTATGGCTACTCGTTTGAGCTACCAGATTTTGGGCTGATTTCAAGGGAACATCTGGTTTCTCTTCCTTTGGAAAATCAGCTAGAGAAGGAGAATCTGATAGAGCTGAAAAATCAGATGTATAGCCACTTCCAATAGATTTTCTGTCTCCATAGCTTTCATAGTCTTCATTTGATTTTCTTATCTGATGATAGATCAGAAAACACGAGGATCATATTAGTTTAAAAGTGGATAATTCATCATGAGAAAAGGCAGGTAAAATCATATGTAGAGTAGTCAGTAAGGTAAGCACAGCTCGACTAGTTGAGATTTAAAAGAAAAGACCAACCTCAACTTCATCCAGGTTGACCCCATTTTCATTAAGAAATGATAAAAAGCTGTCAAGCCTATCTTCTGTTGGGCGATAATGTCCACTATATGCTGAAATAGACTGAAAGGAATAATTTGTCAAGAAAACAGCTAAGTTCCAAGCAGATGATTGTAAACAGAAACTTAGACTCAGCTTTCAAGTTGCATGTACAGAATTCAGGAAGCGTACCGTCCTTTTAACACCTTTCAGTTGCAAATAAAGCAGCTGAATACGTTTATGTAAAGAACAGCTTTCTTCTTCTAGAGTTTCATCTATAAGAGTCAGGGTGCATGACGAGAAGAAATTACATAGAAGGTGGTATATCAACTTGGATTGTGCGGTTTTATGAGTGATGAAAAGAATCGTTCAGTAAGGAAGAGTACTTTACGAACATTAGACTTTAACTGGATCTTGTCACTGTCATACACAAGTATTTTCTCATTTGAGAAAGTATGAGTTCAGCATTAGCCATGCAGCAGCCAGCTGATATTGGTTTGAAGTCAGAAGACATCAAGTGTGACTAAAAGGGACGAAAACTACCTAATTAGTATGATTGGAAATATATGCTCTTAACTACTATCACAAACCGCTACGTGAGTACAATTTAGATGACAGACACAATTGAAATATTTGAGATAAGAGAAACTTATATACCACAACTCTTCCATCCATTACCACTAGTCTTCCAGCAGCTGAAGTAGCTCCACCAGCAAGAAAGCTGGAATGATGAAACAATCCTTTCTTTTTCTGAAGAACATTACAAAGACAAACCTTATTATGAATGAAAAAGGATAATCATCAAAATTTGCATTAACATATTAACTGTTTACCACTCACCTCACCAGCATAGAGTCTTCTTGACGTGCTCATCACAAAAATCCACTTTGCCCCTGGTAACCCTTTAGTTGTATCAAGAACATTTCCAGTTTTCTCATGCACAATTTTTCCTTCAGCAACAATATATTCATAATGTTCTCTCTCTTGCTGATTAAAGAAAAATTAGGAGGAAGAAATCAGGAAACGCACGCTAATATCAAGCAACGCGACTTAAGGATAATGCAGAAGTTAACAGCCTCACTCAAGCGACAAAAATAGGCAACTTGAACATGGAAAAGAACTACATTTATGTCAGATAGTATAAAATGGTGCTAATCAGATCTATCATGAAGACTAAAGAGTAACAGCATCCGCAAAAGTACTTAAGCCAATTGTCTGTTATAATTAATGATTGACATTAAGATTAACGATATGCAGTGCATAAGTAACAAAAGATTCAACACATACAGGTCCAAGGTACTTGATAATTTGCTTCTGAAGCTTAGATCTTGGACATTCTTCGAAATCAACCTTTTTGCCATCTCCAAGATCCAACCTGCAGTTCTTTAAGAAACTTCTAAGCAACCTTTCAGACCATCCTCAGGATTCTTACATCTTAGAAATAGATTCACAGAAAAATACATGCTATTTTATCCTTGTGGCAATGAAATTGCACCAGAGAAAAGAGAAGCCAATAATGCAGAATGTTGGTTAGAAACAGTATACAATCTTGAAATAGGCTTTCACTTATTTGGATATTATCCTATCACTATGAATGGAAATCAAAATTACAGCTCTGGTTGTAGTGTTTGTTTCGAATGCAAAAAGTTTCAAGTTAGATATGTGTCTAGGTTCATACACATCTAGATCATGGTCTTCGGTAATTCTCATTCATCGATTTTGGGGTTAAACTAGGCCATGGTCCATTTTTTTAAAATTTGGAAAAGGAATTTCAGACCAAACACAACTAATCTTTTCACTTTCTACAAAAAAAATTGGAAAAATGTTAAACAATGAATTTTGTAAAAATAATTTCTGAACAAACAATGTCAAAAATCTTACCAAAAGAAGAAGGGCTGACCAGATTCAGTTTTACACCATTCTTCATAATAAATATGCAAATTATGCCCATAACGATGGCGTGGGTCAATCTATAGTGGAAGTACAATATCAAGGTTAGAAAAACAAAAATTACACAAATCAAACAAATTAAGTGGGAAATTTTCAAAAAGAGCAGCATAACGAAAAGCCAGAGGAGAAAGGCACAGTAACTCACCGCCTCAATCCAGTGTTGAAAAGCCAATTTCTGAGCTTTGGCGTCTTTGGACAGACCTTTACCAACCTGAGCAATACGATATTAGAAATTTCCTCTTTTATTTCTTTACAATCTGCCTGAAAGTTGTTATATTATGACTCGAAATACGAAGACTTAAGATCAAAAACACATTTAAATTATCACTTATTCACGAATTTCACACCCAAACTATCATTTGTTACCTCTTTTTACCTGAACTGTCACCTCTACGTAAAAACACATCTCGACCAACTATCAATTGTCTCCTTTTCTTACTTGTACTATCACCATCTACTCAACTAGGCGTGTTCTAATATACATAGATGATGATAGTGTAGAAAAATGGAACAGCTTGTGTAAAACTCGCGAAAAAATGATAATACAATTGTGTTTTTGATCATTTTCTCAAATAGAAATATAACCAACTATCAATTGTCTCCTTTTCTTACTTGTACTATCACCATCTACTCAACTAGGCGTGTTCTAATATACATAGATGATGATAGTGTAGAAAAATGGAACAGCTTGTGTAAAACTCGCGAAAAAATGATAGTACAATTGTTGTTTTTGATCATTTTCTCAAATAGAAATGTAAGAATACCTTGGAAGCATTTAAGCTTATTCGATTCCACCGGGAAGACACGGTTTCTGGCTTTAAGAAGTTGAAGAAAGAAACTGTACTGTGATTCAATCTAGCATAATCTATAGCTTGCCACCTTCAAATTCATCACACATAAATATACACGATTAGTACTTTTTAGAGTGCTATTCAAATAATTATATCCTCTCATTGCGATAGACAGAGTATAAATATATGCACCGCGCAACCAGAGATCGAGTTGTGAAAACAGTCTCTTCCAAAAATGCAGATAAAATCGCATACATAGACTTTTATGCACCGAATAGCAAATTGAGATCGATTATATGACGATTCTTATATTAAACTAATCTATTATATATATTATTAATTATAGAAGTTTTTTTAAGTACTTATGAAGCAATAATACCAGAGAACTTCAGCAACCACGGCAGAGTCAGCTAACATGCGCCGAGTACGATAACTTCTATAAACCTTCTGGACTTTCATGGCGGCATTTGAAATAGAGATGTCGCATTCCGGCCGGCGGCGATCGGAAAAAGGAAACTGATGATGCTCATCATGAGAGGTGAAATCAGAAGTAGACAAAGAATACAGAGTTTTCACTTCCATTGAACAATAAAGATAGTGTTTTTTCTGAGTTCGTCAGAGGCGAATTGTTAGAACTTCATTCAGTATTCAGAGCTATAAAAATGAGCTAAAAGGTTCCATTAATGCATATACTCTACGTGGTTAATCCGTTAGTTTTGTACGTTATTCTGCTGTCAGAGACTCGGAAATTTACGCATGAAATTTTTTATTTTTTTAAAATAAAATTTATATATTTATAAATTATCTAAAAAGTACTATAACTCACAATTATTTATAATTTTTTTGTATTTAAATGATTCATGAAAAATTTATGATAAAAAATAAATTTATTTGAATCTAAAAAATGTCACATAAAATGAAATAGAAAAGTAGTATTATTTCACAACCTTTGTTTAATTTTACCTTGTTTAATTTGGCAAAAGACATTTGAAAAAATTTATATTTTAATTATAACATAAATTTTAAAAGGCTTTTTCTCTCTCTTAAATATCGTGTTAAGTCAAATAACTTGAGAAAAAATGAAATAATATGTTATGTGGTACACTTTTTCAATTTATGCATAGTTGTATTCTCTTCGTTTAAAAAAATTGTCCTCGTACATTTGACATAACTTTAATTTAAAATCACAAAATTAAAAAGCTTTTTTTATTTTCTTAAACTCCATTCCAAATCATACTAAATCATCCTTTTTAAAACGAAAAAAATATTAGTTATATTCAGTACCATATTTGGTATAAGTAGAAAATTAAGATATTAGAATTGTGAGGGATTTTAATTATGAATAAAAACACTGGCTCAATAAAAGATTTCACATCATTTTCTCTATATTCATGGAGGGCACCTTTATTAATAAAGAGTAATTTTCTTTAGTAATATGCAATACATGTCATTTTAATACATCAAATCAATACTCCTATGTTATATAAGAGATAATATTAATAATGATATAATCTTATAGTAAATGATGATCAGTCAAATGATTTTTATCAAAAATTTATAATATATATATATATAAAAAAAATTATACAAAAAAGTATAAATCAAAAAATATTTAAATGTCTATTTAAATCTTAAATATTTTTAATAAAATAAATTAATCTCATCACTAATAACTGAGGTAAATATAACAATATCATGATCTGGCCACTAATAAGTGCTGTCACACCATTTTGAAGAAACGATATATATTTAGTCAACTCCACGCAGTGTTGGTGGGCTAATATTTTATTTTCAACATTAGAAATACTAAAATTATTTATATGATAAGACTAATTTATATTTCAAATCACCTAATAACAATTATTAAAAAGAAAATTTTTCTATCAAAATATTCATTTGTGATTTCTAATTAAATATGAAAGAATCTTATTAATATCACCATACTCTTCCGCAGTGATTCTCAACACTTAGAATACATGTTATGGATTTATTCAAATCTAATAATTTTGATCCGATGATTACATTTATTATAAAAAATTACTGAATAATTTAAATAAACAACGTACGATTTAAATAAATATATTTTTAAATTCATAAACTTCAAATCCCGTATTTTTCTCTCGAAGAGAACTTTAAGAAACAGTTGAGAAAATGAGATCATTGAAATCGATGTTTAATGAGATTTAAATTGGAAAAGTGACTGTTGAACCATTTAGTTCCAGCAAGACAAAGATTTAATAATTGGTTTCATTTTTTCTTCTCCTACCATATATAGTTAGGTCCCCAAATGTATATATACCATAAATATGCTTGTAAACTAGTTCTAATAATAGTAGTTAGATTGATGAGGACTAAATGTTGTTGCATGGGTCCATGAACCATGAACAAGGATGTTGAATCCTCTGCATGGCCCAATTACTTCTATATTTGTTTTTTTTCTCGTTTAATGTTCAATGTTTGTATTAGCTAAAGTTAGACTATTTTTGAATCGCATCGTGTAGAGCCTCATTCCTATTAAATTTGAAATCTTTGCTTAAGATCGAAAAGAGTAGCTCCATCCAGTACACCACATATTTATAGATATTTGTTTTTAATCTAAAGAAATAAATAGGAGAAAATAATACTATTCTTTTCCTTGGTGTGAATATGATTATATCTTTTTAAAATTAAACGTGGGATGTTAGCTTAAGAAACAATGCATACTTAAGATTAGATTAAATTTTATATATAGTTGTTGACAACAAATACGAATTATTTAAAATGTGAGAAACTTGTGGTTACTATTATATTGACAAACGAAAAATAATAGAGAAGACAAATATTAGGGTTTATTAATTCGGCAAGATGAAACATGTGTTGTATATTAAATATTTTTCAAGAAATTAAGTGGATTTTGTATATATTTTTAAAAATATTTGTATATAATCTATATAAATAATATAAGATGTGAAATTTAAAATGGTAAGTTTAACCAAGTAAAAAGGAACTGCTCTTTCAACTAATGCTCTATTTTAAAAAAATGTTTTTAGAAAAGAAATTTGATTCAATTTTTTTTAAGACTATATTTTTTAAGAAAATAAATATTTTTATATTTTTTCAAACGTAGCCAAACAAAATATTAGAGTGCAACAAAAACAATAATCCAACAATAAAATAGTACGATAATTAAAACACAATTAATAACGTAGTATATAGATATCAAAAATAAAAACTACAATAATAAAGTTAGTTAACAAACACCAACAAGCCTCACCTTGGAAAATAAGACAACACTCAACTATCTATTAACCTTCTATCCTGGTACATACCTGTCCTCCACATTCTCATATTTAAGGACATGCTCTCCGTAACCTGAATTTGTGTCATGTCTTGTCTAATAATCTTTTTTTCAATACTTCTTCAGTCTACGTCTACGTCTACATCTTCTTATAGCTACTATAACCAACCTCATACACTTCGCGGCTACTCACCTTCAATTCTCTTCACATTTTAATTCATCTCAATCACGTTTTCCTCATCTTGTCTACAACGGAGATCGTTTCCATGCCTTATCCCAAATTTTACCCACATATCAACCTCAACATCCTAATCTTTGTAACATGCATCTTCTAAATATGAGAGTTGTTTACTAGTCAACATTTTGCCTCATACTACCAAATCTATTTATAACCACCACTCTATAAAACTTACATTCAAGTGTCTTTTTATCACATGAGATTTCAATCCAAATGCAAGCATCCATTTTATCCATGAATGTATGATATCATTACGTCTTCACTTCCCTAAATTATAGACCTAAGATATTTGAAACTATATCGGGAATAACCTGAGGGCCAAACCTCACATCCATTGCATTGCATTGAATTTGCATTTCAAAAATAATCTGTTTTGATCTTGCTTAACCTAAAGTCCTAAACCCTTTAACTTCAATATTTATCCCCAAACATACCTCTAACCTAGCATTAACTCTGTTAGTGTTTGATCAATAAGATCAATATTGTATCATCTACAACACCACATCTTAAAAGAGTTGATATATTATGGTTCGGATCATTAAATGGATATATATAATTGGTTCTTTAAAATTTTGGTTAATAAATTTCATGTCAGCAAATTTAGTAAAAAATAATTAAATAAGTTGAGTAATTTTCTATGCGAAGAAGTTGAGTGATTTTTTAGTTGAAAATGAAAGTTGAACGATTTTTTGTGAAAAGAATTGATAGTTGAGTGAACGTCGAAGTTATTAACTCTGCATCTGTTTTCCTATCATGGTTATATGTTGTTCCAGAATGTAGAAAATTGCTTGTTTTATTTTGCTTTTGTAATTTGCTCTTTGCATAAAGTGAGTTCTCGCATTGTGCTATACTGCTGTATACTAATATGGATGACTTTGAAGCTTTACTATCCCCTGTGTGCCTTGTGGGTGTTTAGTGTTTGATAAAATGCCTGAAAGAAGATGCAGGGCATGAGATGTTGCTCCTCTAGCACTTATGTGGATCATATGGTGAGAGAGGAATAGATGAGCTTTTGAGTTTAAAGAAAGACCTTATACACTTGAGGAATAGCTTATTTTCTCTTATTCCTTTTTGGTGCACCCATAGGATTCCTACACGTATAGATGAGTGTCGTGGCAGAGGAAGGATTTTCATTAAGGGGTTTCAAAGTATGAAGAAGTCGAAGGAGGTTCAATATTACTATATAAAGTGTAATTTTTCGTCGAAGGGGATTCTGATGAACCCGTAGACACTTACTAGCTTCTCTCCCCAGATGAGTGGGAGTTATATGTAGAAAACCATTTCTCTTGTAAGATTTTCTATTTTTGGTATACTTCTTGTATACAGGCAAGCTTTTTGACCAAGCTTCAAATACAAATAGTTTTCTTATAGTTTGGATGTTAAAATAATTAGGTAGAGGTTGAAAGATAGTTCACTTTATGTCTGTTTTGCAGTTCAATAAATCTTCTTTCTTAGAGAAAGCGATTATTGATAACGCTTGAAAGTTTTATATATTATTATCTGAAAGGGTGGAACCAGTATTTATGTAACTTTCTTAATGCATTATGTTAGACATATTTCAAGTATGATTTCTGATTTCCGAGATTCTACATTCAACTGAAGTGACTTCGGATGGGATCATTATAATCTAAGCAGCATATGGCAGTTGGCATATTGAGGAATTATTTGCTACATATGGAGTTGTTGGATTCTTGATATATCCCTAAGAAGAGGTTCACCTATGAACCTTTATGCAGTTTATATACAACAAGAATTTCAGAGTTAAGGAAGATTCAACTTCTATATAAAGTAATGTTTATACACTCTACTGCATGAAACTATGGATGAAAGTTAAATATGAGATCAGAAAATAAAAATGAGCAGATCGAATGGTGTTACAATATTGTAACAGATCTTGAATTTAAATTATTATACATCAATTTTTCCTTCCAAAGAAACCATAAGGCTATGTTTCCCATGTGAAGACCTCTATTTCAGACAAAATGTTATCAGCAAATTACCTGTCTTCTGATCTCATGGTTTGCCCTTTGTTATATGTGAGGTTCCTCAGCTCCAACTGAAACCATTTAGGTCAAATTGCTTACAACTTGAAGCAGCATCAGTTTCATCATGCATGTTTAGATCCAGTTTAGGTTCAAAGTATGACAGCTTATACTCTTGCGAAGATTTGTGCCTCTGTGGCACTGATTCACTTCTGTTGGTTACCTGGTGAAATAGTTTGACATCTCTCTCTGTTCCATTGAAGTTTCCATCAGAGTGGTTCATGCTTCCATTCAGTTTTTCGTCTTGAAGTCCAATACTCATTGATAAGTTATTGCAGTTCGTCTCTCGGGTGAATGTTTTTTCTCTACCCTCGTTCATTGGGGAGAATAATCTTCTGTTCTCCTTGAGGTTGTCACACCATCGTAGTTCAGTCTGCTGTAGCCTGGTATCATTTTCAATATCCTTACACTCGATAGATGGTGTAAAGCCGAAAGGCCTCAATCCAATTTGGTTATCATGCATTGTGTTGTCCCTCAAAGAGCCATCACGAGAGGTCAAGCAGCTGTCGATTGAACGATCTGTTGGCTGTGTAGCTTGTGTTTGTTGGCTGTGAAATCCTGATAGCTCTTTTATATCCGTAAATGGAGAGTTCAGGCATTGATTGGATGCTTTGGATACGAATTCTGATAGTTGAACCTTGACTGCCTCTAATCCTACTGTTTCCATGTTTTGTCTTCCAAGAGTTTCTTGTGCTTTCTCGAGCACGGACTGCAGATATTTCCCCTGAGCTTCTATCCGTAACTGTAAATGTCGTTGTACCTATATCAGTTCAATTAGGCCTCATTTAGAAGCCATCAAGGAAAAAATTCCTTGAATCTTAGAAGTTTGACAAGAAAAAACCAAACATAGTTTCTTAATTCTTGAAACCAAACATGTGGACAAACCTTGTTGGCTAAGACTGTTTAAGATATCCAATTGGTTATCTTATCTATACAATTGTGAGAAAATGTGTTTAGATTACTTAATTTCCCGGTGAAGTTTTCTTTTTAGAAGATGAAAGTGCCTGTTTTCAAGTTTCTGTTTTTTACATCAGCAAATAGTAAATCTCATCTTTTACAAGTACTTTAGGCATATGCTTTTGCTCTCATTTCTCATATGTAATATAATTCATCAGTAATTTTATACCTCAAGCTGCTCGTGAAGCCTTCTCTGCACTTCTATTTGCATTTGTATTGCTTCACTTATTTGAATATTTCTGAATAGACCAGATAAGTATTTGTCAGAATAATGTAAATTGGATTTTTTGCAAAGACATGAATGAATTGTTTAAATTAAGGAGTAGATGCTTTTTGTTCTTACTTGTTTGGTTGGGGTACCATGCTTGGATTACTCATACATGTTGCACTATTCTCAGATATCCTTTCTACTCCTGCTGCTGCAACTATTCACAAACTCAGTCAGTTTATGGATGTTCCATATTCTCCATGAAAGAGATTTTCTGAATTTTAATTTTCGTGAGAAGTATTTGATTTCTTACCAGCTTTATTTGCCCCGCTAGCATTTGCTTGTCCATGGAGATTCTTACTTAGTCTGTATTTCTGCCATCATTTTGTAAAACGTTAGTTTCTGATACAATCTAAGAGTATATAAATGTAAGAAAGGGTTTTGGATGGAAACAAAACAAAAGTTCTCGCAGTTGATTTAACAGATGTTTTGCCCTCTTATTACCAGTTCTGTTGTTTGGAATTATTCTCTTGGCAGCTAAAGGTTTCAAGGCTGAATATGGCCTTGTAGAATGTTTTTTTTTACTGTGGTGGATTATGAATGCCATAAAGCGAATAAGAACTAACCTGAAGATGACTCTTTAAGTGGTACAAGGTTAATCCTTGAATCCCCATAAGCTTTAGAACTGATTTTGGAGTGGCTTCTGCAATAGGATAATGTTTATCTTCGTGAAAAAACATCATCTTGTAATTGCTTATTCAAAATTGATGTATTTGTGTGCACTTACTGTCTGCTCCACCAAGTTGATTAACTGCTTCTATAAACCTCTCATGGAGGTCCGGGGTCCATTTCAATCTTGGCTTAGCATCAGTTGATAGGACAAGCCCTGAATCTCCGTTGCCATTTCCACCTTGCAGGAACAGATGTCGTTCAGGAACAGACATTCTTGTTGAAGGGTGCATGCTCTTATCCTGGTGGTGATGATGGTACATCTTTCTAGCCTTCTGTTTGATGATTAGCAGATAAGTCTCGTGATGTGCTTTAATAGGAAACGAATCATGATAGGTAGTTTAGCTAATCATAACGCACCTGAAAGTGATCTGCTGTACTTGATTTCAGTCTAGTCTTGCCCTTCAAATGCGAATCACGATTCTTCTGTATTCTCCAGACTATGATGTTGTTGCTCCTGATACTTGGTTCAAAGAGAACTGTGTTCTACTGCTTTTATGTATGTCCTTAGTTATACAACTTCACAGATCAAAGATGTTGCCAAAGAGCTCTTATAAGCGAATGGGAAGAGAAAGAGGGACGGGTCCAGGTGAAGCACAGAATCTTGGATAGGCCCAGTTGAACGCTAGAACCAATCGAATCTTCACAGCCGGCTCAAAAAGAGATCTCATCCTTCCAGTTTTACATATTTGTGGGTCCTAGCATGATATTCCTCTGCACTATAAGTTATTGAAACACTTAAACACCTTACAATAGGTACAAAGAATTGATCCTCCCGCGACTTTTGTGTACTCATATTCTTCATCTAGCAAAGTTTGGGAACCATATTCGCGAATCAATATTGGAATTTTTTCTGATGCTGACTGAAAGAATCCACTATCTAATGATGTATAATTTCTTGAAACCTTCATAACCATTTCACCTTTTTCAAATGGAAGATTCTGTTGACTCGAGCTTCAATTACTCGGTATTGGATAAAGAACAAAGGAAAAAGATATGAAAATGGTTGAGAGATGCTTCCCTTATTTCATGTCAAAATGATAAAGTCTAACGTTTTTTCCAACAGAACACTTAAAAACTTTGTGGGGGTCCTAAATAAAGAATTAGTTGAGGGAGCATTTCCTATATACGCGTTTTATTCTATTGTGTTGACTATAGGTTTTCCTTGGATTAGAAATAGTTAATCCATGATTTCGGAGCTTCTTCCTCGTTGTTTTCCCATTTCACTGCTATTGATATTCTTTCTTCATGCAGGTGAATCCATGCTTTGCCATACAATTAATTCCTTTCCCTTTTTCTTAAGACAAGTACAAGATTCTCTTTTTGAGTCAAGGGTCTAGCGGAAACAACCTCTCTACCTCAAAAAGGCGGTAAGGTATGTGTACATCCTACCCTCCCCAGACCCCACTTGTGGGATTACATTGGATGTATTGTTGTTGGTATTTTACTACTATTACAGTACTAGATTTTCTTTCAGTTTAAGGAGAAAATTTGTGTTAGTTTCTTAAAGTAAGTTCAGGAGAAGCCCCTGGTCCCCTGCTGCTTTGGGCAGTGTTTTTAGGATACTAAAAACTTTCATGCAATATCTTGCACTGTATTTAGTGATATTAACTTTTGGAATATGTTGAGCATTCTTTCGAGTAGTTTAGTAACCGAAAAGGAAGAAGATAAAAAGGTAAAGAAATTGTCAAGAGATGCTGCTACTTGGCTTTGTCTGAAGGCCAAGAATGGAATAAGGAACAAATTCCCTTTTTGTCTTTCAACAAGTTTGGTACTTATTCAGCCTAGATGAAACTAAAATAGTGGGAGATCAGCCTACGGATATATACATTTCCTAATCTTTAATTGGTATAAGACAGCCGTCTCCAAGGCATTGGGACGGACCCCTTTGAAAGAAGGAATACAATAATACTACTTGCTTTTATATATAGTTTTCTGATGGAAAACATGACAACTCGTTGCTCGAAAATTAGTACTTGTCTTCCCCTTGACTCAAAGCCTTAATTTGGTCTAATGATACCCCAGAAAGAATATAATAGTAGTTTTACATTGATCTTTTGTGCCTGCTTATTTGTTTAACATATGCATACATGTCCATTTGTTTGTCATAGTTTTTTTTTTGTCTGAGATGAACTTGAGTATCTTGTTCACTCTGCAAAGATGTGTTTAGATCTGCTGTACTTTTTCTGCACTGCATATATCAGAATGAGTAAAAAAGAGTGTCATTTATATTTTTGATTGCATTCCCTGTGAGTATGTCATCTAGTTGTTTACTGTATTTGAAACAGTGCCACATATACACTGTTAGTAACAACAACATATTCAGTGAAATCCCACAAGCAAAGTCTGGGGAGGGTAGAATGTATGCAGACCTTACTATTACCTCGTGAAGGTAGAGATAGTGTTAGTAACAAGGTTCCAAAGATGTCTTGGAGCAACAGTAGAGTTGTCTCTGTGTGACCTATAGTTCACACTTCACAAGTTCGAGCAGTACTAATACTTATATTAAGGCGAGTTGTTTATGTCGTGTGCACCGGGTTGTCCTTTATAAAATAGTGAAAATTCCTAACCTCTGAACAAGGTATGCACATCAGTTTTCAGTTGAGCTTTCAAGAAAAAGATCAACTGATTCTGATATCTTAGGGAATTTTATGCACTTTGGAGGAATATATTACAACCTTTAGGTAAAGTGGGTATAAGGCATAAAGCAAAATTCCCTCAATACTGTTTTCCTGGCATGTGGATAGGAATGAAAATGAGGATGTGCATTTTAAGCTATGATGATAAATTCTCTTTCAAATTTAATAAAACTTCATTTTATAGATATACATTGGATTATAATATTGTGAAACTTTATACCAAAAATATATAGCCATTACAAGTAAGATATTTATCTTCTGAAACTCATGTGTTTTAAATTGTTTTTTCTTTTTTTGTCATTCTCATTTTCCTTCTGTTATGGTTAAATTTATTCATGATTGATGATGTCCCAAGATTTATAGTTGATTTATGTTGCTACATCAAACCATAAGTAATATTCCCTTTATTTTAAAAAAAAATGTCTTATTTTTCTTTTTATCTGTTTTAAAAAAAATATTTTTTTTCTTTTATGGCAATACTTTGATTTTAGTTTTCCACGTGATATGTTTAAGGCACAAAATTAAATGATATTTTGGTATATTTAATACAATTTTAGTTTAGGACTACAATATTGATTTCTTTATTTTTGTAAATTCTGTATCAACTCGCGTTATATTTTTAAATGTATAGGTTCAGATCTACTATTTGATGCAACTTAGGTCGATTTTTACACATAAATATATATTTTATATTAAAAGTATTGAGTTCAGATAAATTTGGAGCTTGAGAGATTAATTAGACTTTGTATATAAATTATAATAATAGTGATGATGATAGAGAATATTAAAATTATGTGATAAGCTTGTTTTGACATAGCCTGAATATTTTGTCACATCAAAGTTTATAGGAGAACAACTTATGTAATTGAATATTTTTGAAAAGCAATATATACATTGAATTAGAAGAAGCATAAATAACTAGTAAAACTTCATTTCATATTTTTTCTAATTTTATAATAAAAAAATAACCCAAATTACTCTTTTCTTTGTCATGGTACATTTTAAAAAGTACTTAAGTTTGCCTTTCTTTTGATGTTGCAATAAAGCAATTATTTTAATGACTGCTTCTGTTTCCTTTGGTTTGTACCCTTTGCCTTTACTATTTCCAATCTATTTATCTTTTGTTGCTTTCTTTATGTTATTTTCATGATTTATATTCTCACACTTTAAAGAAAAGAGAACATGTGCTCTTGTTCTTTCTTGTACTTGCATTTCCTTTTTAATGCTCTTATATTAAATTTAATCTTACTTTATAGTATAAGACAGAGACTCGCTATTAAAATTATCAAAAAAAAAAAAAGCATTTCAAATCATCTTAGGGAGATGATGGTATTGGGAGGGGACTAGTCAATGCTTGATCAGTATAAAGCGTATATATATAATAAAATTTTTTTAAAGAAATATCGACTTATTATAACAATTCAATTTATATTTACTTATTATATATCCCGAATTAGTGTTGGTCTACATATATGTAGGGATAGAGCTAGCCAGGGAGAAGGGGGCTCGATTAAATTCTCTTCGTTGAAATATTATATTGTATCAATAATTTATTATGTTGTGAATAAGACGTAGAATCTCATAAAATTGGATGAAGCGGTGTCGAATAACACACTACCGATTACAAAAACAAAGCTAGTCTTTGGGTTACGGGAAAAGACAAATCTAGAAATTTCTAAGACATGAGTGCACCACCTAGAGATAATAAATATTCAGTCATAGTCGATCTCTATTTTCTAGGTAAATAACTCAACTTTCAACCAAGTGCACTATTTAACTTTCTTATAACATAAGTTTCATCAAATAATATTATAATAGCTTTTAGAGAATATATACATAAAATATCTAGTTTTACAAAGAGATCATCATGGATTCACGTACTCCATATTTTACATGTAACTATTCGCCCTAGGTTAGTTTTGGTTTAAACCATGTGTTCATATTAAAAAGTCCATTAAATATATACACATTATTAATTCATATCATATGCTTCAAATCACGACTCCGTCTCCGATCGATTTGCAAATTGGACAGATGTAGAATTGGAATTGGTGAGTAGTTGTTGACCCCAGAGGTGAAGGCACTGGCTTAAAATAAAAGGGGATATATAGCAATGACCACAGAATGATATTCCTTATAGGAAGAAAAGGACTTGTTGGGGTTTAAGAAAAAAAGTTAGAGATTCTTCTTAGGGAAATGGAATTTTAGAATCTTAACTCAAAAAATAAAGTGTTGGGACATTATTCTCAAGTCAAGAATTTCTTCATTATTCCTTTTCCTATTTTTAGGCCACTAATAATGGGTTCCCATAGTCCCATTCTTCCTTTTTTTACTTTCTCCGTTTAAAAAAAATGATCTAGTTTTACTTGAAATGAAATTTAAGAAAATAAAAAAAAAAATTTAATCTTGTGGTTCTAAATTAAAGTTATGTCAAATGTATCAAAATGTCCTTTAATCTTGTGGTCTTAAATCTGTCACGTGAAAAGTTAAAGTCAAAGTGTTATCAAAATAAGAAAGAGATATTTTTTTAAACAAACTAAAAAGGAAAATAAGGTCATTCTTTTTAAAACGAAAAGAGTACTCTTTTTTTTACTTTTCTTAACATTTTTCCTTATTTCTTAACTATCAATATGCATATATGATATGGTTAAAATCATGTATATGTATGTTAAATATGCAGGAAAATTAGAACTTATTTACTACCATTCAAAACTCATAAAATTTAAATTCAAAATTGATTAGGACTCTCACTTGTATAGTAGCATGGTTCGTGCATTGTCTTAATTGTGATTTGAATCATAATATTTGAGCTATGTTCATTGAGAATAAGTCGTAACCATGAGGTTTAATTTTTGGCAGGTAAAAATACGAGGTGGTCATTTCTTTTTCATTTGTTTAAATCTTGGTGGACAGAGTTACTCGATACATGTACTAATGAGAGATAGTAGATTTATCATAAAATTAGTTGAGATGCATATTACAATTTATTATTTTTTTCAAAAAATACGACATTGAAATTAAAAACACTTGAGGCACGTCAAGATGTTGCAAAACTTGCTTCTTCGAAAAAAGAAGAAGAATGAACCGTATCTTCAAACGTACGTTATTTCTAATGAAAAAGCGGAGGCATAATGAGCTGACGATACATTATGATTTGTTTTGTACATATATCTAAAATTCAATTTTAAATTTCGTTATTTGATAGATAACATTCACTATTAATTTTATTTATTATGTATTTCTTTTTTAAAATCTGTTTTGATATATTTTTGCTTTAGTCAATAATTTATTGAAAATCATTTATCTATCTTTGCAAAATAAAGATAATATTTATATACACAAAACTGATCTTTCCATAATCCGTTTATAGATTATGCTTGGTATTTCTGTTATCATTGTTGATATATTTTATTAACCTTCAAGAAAAAAAAATAGACAATGCTCAAGTAAAATAATAAAAATGCATGCAAAATGACAAACACCGTCGTTATAAATAAGTTTATAAAAAATTACATAAAATCTTAGCCCAACTATTATATCCCTCGATATTAATTACTTTAAACATCACTTTTTTTGTTATTTATAAATTTTCTTAATGCAATATTGAATAATTTAAAGCTCAAGCTAAAGAATACGATAATTAATTAGTTTTGACTATGGAATATTAGTTGTTTTTTTAGAAGTATTTTTTTAATATTTTAAGTTGTAATTTAATTGAAGAGTCTATTGATAAGATGTTGAGATCTTCATCATATTGAATCAACTTTATGTTATTGATAACGTGTTTTTGTTGGCTTTTGAAATTTGGTACATTAGATGAATCACTTTGTTTGTGTAATAGTTTTTTTTAAAATTATTTTTGTACTAAGTGTTTGTGTCAAACTTATTATTTTCGAATCGAAAAAAATCTGAACAAAATCGAAATAACCAAACTGACAGAAATCTTTTTGATTTAGTTTGATTTGATTTTAGAAATTTAAAAATTGATTAAATTAATTTGATTTTTATTTTAACTAGTAATTGATCCAAGGCCAACCATGACCACCCCTAATAATAATCATGAAACAACAATATAAAAGAAAAATAATTATTCAATGATATCTTTATGAGTTACGACTTTATTTTACCTGTTATTATAAATCTTCTTCTTCTTTTTTTCTTTTAAAAAAAATAGTGCTAGATGAACCTATTTATAACTTAAAATTTAAAAAGAGAAAAGACATAGAAGAACAATTAGAGAAGAGAACACATTAAGGTTTGTTTCGTAGATGGGAGATACTTCTAAATTTCAATTTTCTTATGTTTGATGGATCAATTTTTTGAAAATAATCTTTTCTAGCAAAATTATTTACTTTAAAAATAAAGAAAATGAAATTAGTCCGAGCTGTGCTAAAATAAGTGACACTTGAATTGAAAGTAGCCATCAATCAGGTCTTGAATAGATCTTAAACAAATTTAAATTATTTTATTCGATCTTTATCTCCTGTACAAGATTACTGAAATAGAAAAAACAAAAAGAGAGTACAAGAAATAAATTGCTACCAATTACGCTACAAATAAAACCATAAGGTTCAGATGAAGTAGATAAAATAAGTTCTACAAAACTACATTAATTATATCCTCCTCAATCTTCAACCTATCTCCTTCCCCCTACCGTACCAATAACTCACTTTCTACTTATTTTAGAATAATTTTTTAATTTAAATAACAAATACAAAAAAATAAATAAGAAACTTACATATTTTTTTAAAAAAAATATTTTTCTCCATATCGAAAACATTCTTAAACAGAGGAAAAAGAAAAAGCAACGAAATACAAAAATTTTGGGTTAGATTTTCGATACTTAATTTTTGTAAAATCTATCTTCATTATATTTTTTTTCAAATTAAATTTGAATCTGTGTCAACAAAATCCCTTTACGACTAAGCATGCTCCATATCAAAGGTGACTCGAATAAAGACTGCTAATTACAGATGAAACAATATTTATCACTCTATCGTAACCCTTGTTCGATCAAAACTCAATCTTATTTTATGTCTTTTTTTAAAAAAAATTATTATCATTATTTTTATTTTTTTAAAAAATATTTATTTTGTTTCATTTCATTCATGTCAAAAGCCCTAAACCCCAAATCTCCATTTTCGCAGCTTGCTTGAAGAGAAAACATAGAGAGTAAAGAGGACGAGAATGAAAATGCATAAACTGAAAGCTTTGCTATCACTGAGTAAACCCTTTCGAAGAAATGATTCGAGCTTCATCCTCTCAAATCATTATTGTAGACAGTTTTCTGCTCAACCCAGCTATGCCGATTATCTTCAAGAACAGGTTCATTTTATTCAACATTTTTCGTAATTAAATTGTTTGTGCTGATACAAATGTGCTTTACTGCATTTGGCAAAGCGAAACACCAATTGCTTGTTATTGTTGTTGCAGGTTTTGGTTGAAGGAAGGGCTAAATCAAGAGCAGCTATTTTAAATAGACCATCTGCTCTTAATGCTCTTACGCCTTCTATGGTTTGGCATTTTACCCTTTTGAAGAATACGTTTGTTTATGTTTTTGTAAAGCTGTAATTGACCCTATTTTGAATGTTAGGCTGGTCGATTAAGTAGATTGTATGAGTCTTGGGAGGAAAACTCAGATATTGGATTTGTAATGATGAAGGTAATGATACATTGTACTAAAAAGAGCTTCTTTTTACCTTCCTGGTTTGTTATTTTCTTATGTTGGTTTTATTTTTCTTTTTAGTTTCTTTCAAGTTAAGGACATTTTGTTACATTTCTTTAGTTTAAGATTACATTATAAAAGATTTAAAAGTTGATTTGTATCTTCTTAAACTCTGTGCCTAGACAAACAAATTGAAATTGGGGAAGTATTTTGAAGGATCAGAGTTTAGTTTATGAAATTTGGACATTCTAGCTAATAAGGAAGTTCTTGATTGAATTTATTGCAGAGTAATGGCAGGGCATTCTGCTCCGGAGCAGACGTCGTCACACTTTATGAGTTGATTAATGAAGGTGTGTGTTTGCTTTTAGTTTTGTTCCTTTTTTCTTGTGTTGTATCATTTTCAAGGTGTAATTTCCTAAGTGCGACTGATAAAATATTCCCTGCGATGATCAACTATGCTTAAGTTTTTGATTAAAGCAAATATTTTGGAATTGATTAAATTTTTCTTATGATCAACTCCTCTCTGTTTTCCACTTGCTTGGATGTAAATATCACTCAATGTTAATGAGTATTAATGTGTTAGAGGCACCCAAGGGTGTGACTTACCGGCGATAAAGTTGGATTGGACTATGGGAGACGATTATTGAATTCCAACAGAGACAAGCCACACCTTTGGGTGCATCTATTGGAATTCGAACCCAAAGGTGATACTCTATGTGGACTAAGTTACTTGGTAACTGTGGGGGAGATAAATGACATGTATTTGGTAAGATTAGTAGAAGTGCGAGTAAGCTAGACATAAAATATTAATCCTTCTGTTCATTTTATGTGGCACCATTGCTATATGTTAAAGAGGTTTTCTTTGACCGTACTTTTCTTAAATATTCTTTTATGTATTTAGAATTATTATCTATCAGAATTATAGACTTTAATGTATGTTTCAAACATGTAAATGTTATTTAAAAAATTCTTGAAGAATTTAAGTCCCAGTGGACGCCCAAAAATTATCTAGATTTACCCTTGAACTCTGTATCCTGCCACATAAGATAGAACAGTGGGATTATTGTGTTAGAGAAATGCTTGTTTGTGTTTTTAGTAAAGGTGTAACATTTGCAAATTGTCAAAATGAGGAGCTCTACAAGAAACAAATTGAATACCTAACCAGAACAATTCTTTCCAACAACCTACTGAATGAGAATGGGTCATTGTTAATCCCGCTGTTCAAACTGTTAATCTATGTAGTTTGTTTGAGTTTCTTGCTTCATAAGAGGAAACTAGCAGAATGATCATGACAAGACAAGATGCCATTTTTGTGAACCTTTCCTTGTCTTCACCAAATGTGTCGGGCTCAGAAATATAATCAACATATTTTATCGTCTTACTGCCCCAAGGGTACGGCGTAGTAGTCAATGAAATGGGAGGAGAACCATGAGGTCTCACGTCAAATCCAAAACAATATGTGATGTCGTCCTATTTATCTAAACCTTGGTAGAGAGAGTTACCTCATACCTATTGCTTGTGGGAGATAGCAAATATACCTTGGAATTAGTCGAGGTGCGCACAAACTAGTCCGGACACCACACTTATCGAAAACAATATATTTTATCGACTCAGCTTCTTCTTAGTGCTGGTATTTTACTTTATATTGCAACTGAAGTCCTAGATGAACCTTGTAAATTCCTATAGCTTGAGGAGAATACCAGAGCATTTCCTACACTTGCTCACAGAATCCTTTGCTTTTAAGAATAAATAGTTAATTTTTAAGTTATTGTCTGTGAAACTGTTGGCAAACATTTTGATTTAGATGCACTTTTCTGCAGGGAAGGTTGAGGAATGCAAGAAGTTCTTCCAGACATTGTATAAATTCGTTTACCTGTTAGGAACCTATCTCAAGCCAAATGTAAGTAGTACTCTTTCCGTTACTTTTCATATTGCATTGTCAGTGAGGTTGGATATTGAGTTTTCTCATCAAAATGTTGTATCTCCCTTCTCTTATTGGGAGATCTCGATAGATGTTCCTCTGCCTCACCGCTTGTATCAAAGCATTGGAATGAAATTTCTGTTTGAACTGTCACTTCATTATTATCTGTCTGCACAATTTATTGTCTAACTCAACATATAAGTCATAAAAGGAAACACAACATATAGGTATTAGGTAGAAATATGTCAAGACTCTGCTCAGTAAAACTTATATACACATACATAACTGTAACTGACACTTTTTGGTGGTGACCAGCATGCCCTTAATGCTGAAGAATACAATCTTACCAGTTTTTAAAAAAAACTCGATACACCATATGTACTTGGAAGACATCAAAACTGTATGGGAGGTGCGGCTTCTTCAAAAATATTGAAATGGCCTAAACATAATAAAAA